AAACATAAACATATACGCACATATACATATCTATGATAACAAGTACACATTTTGTGTGTTTCTGTATACTGTTTTTTTTGCCTAATATATAATGAAACTATTATCAACTTATATGATTAATATATATTTTTATTGATATTTATGGTTTTAGAATTTTCGTTTTAATATATTAAATAATATTATTTTTTAACCATTTTATCTTTGTATATTTGCTCCCTTGGTTATAATTCAATAAGTGGTTAGCATTTATTTAAGTCTGAAATATTTATTGGTTGTGATTTTCATTGTCTGTCATTGTCTGTGGATGTATGTATGTGTATCTATCGGTGTCTATGTGTATGTAGAGTGTATTCACTGTGTGTGTGTGTATTAGTGTTAGTTTCCACGTCTCCCTTTTTTTCATAAAGGGCTGTAGAGATGTTCATGTATTTCCCCCACCTCCTCCCTTTTTTTTTTTTTTTTTTTATGTATGTGTGTGTGTGTGTTATGTGTGTGTGTGTGTGTGTGTGTATATCTAATTATGTCTGGGTGCTTATGTATTATAATCTGATTGTGTTTTTTTGTTGTCTTGACGTGAATTTAAGACCACATCCACAAACTTTAAAATAAAAACGAAATGAAAGGGAAAAGGAAAAATATATATACATGTATTATCAAATGACCGGATATATTGTAGCGTCCTTGTCGAACGTAATTTCAATGAAGAAATGAATTGAATAAACATATATATTTTTCTTTTCTCAATAATTTTGTAGTTTTTAAACTTAATAGTGATTAAATTTGGATTTTAAAATTACCAGTTTTAATTTTAATATTAAATTTTATCATATAATTTTATAATTATTAGTTAGTATAAATTATTTTAATATTACACGTATTTAAAGATCTGAATAGCTATTATAGCAGGATTTCGTTGTCCTTTTTTGAATCTTTTCTATACTTCGTTTTGATTGGTTATTCTAGCTTTTGTAACAATGCTCCCCCTAGTGTAGGATCGTTAATTAATCTGAAACTTTTAAAACCATTTATTTTATTTTCAACATCATCACTTGAGAAGACACAGAATGTGCTGAAACAAAATGGCTATTTTTGTAGTGATCTTATAACATACTTATGTTATAATTTTTTATAAAAAATAATTATATCTGCTCTACTTTGTATTGAGCACTCTTTTAAGAATAGTAATTGTTTGTTATTGGAATTCATTCCGTATATACCAATTATATACTTTGATATATATATATATATATATATATATATATATTATCACAGGCAATTACAGTATTTGGACTGTTGTCCACATGTTTATTGCCATATTCGCAATGTTTTGGCTGTTGTACACTCCAGACTTCTTCAGTTGATATTTGTTGAAAGTTAAAAACAAACCAATTTACATAGTCCATGGGAGTAGATTGTTCTAATTCCATGTACCATGCTTTTGGATATCTGAAGAAGTTCGGAGTGTGCAACAGCCAAAATGTCATGAATATAGCAATAAAGATGAGAACAACAGCCCAAATAATGTAAATAGTTACAATACCTCACCTCAGAAATATAGACAGACGTTCATTTTATATGTTTAATTTAACTGCAACAAGTTTTTGTGATTTATTTCTGATTTTTAATCACCTTAAATCACCATTTTGGATTCTCATGCAACTAAACATCAAATCAGGATCAGCAACCTGTTACGGAAACATGTATTGTTATTAGAAATTTTATGCTCTATGGGTGCACCTCCCAAATTCTAGATGACCAGAGATTGGCAACTGATCTCTTGTCTGACCTAGCTCTAACAGATTAGTGGTGGAAAAAACTGGTTCCATCATCACTGAACAGATTTAGAAAGGCTCCATGCCTTGAGCACCGACTGGGACAACATATCGAATACCTTTCGTAAACAATTATTATCAGCACTTGCCTGTTTTGTATTTTATTATCTATTGTACTGGCGGTATATTTGCAATCTTGCTGTTTGAAATAAGAGGTTTTTAAGTAGAGTCAAAATTTCTGAAAATGTGTACTTCTTTATATGACACCACCTTTTTCCTTTTAGTTTCCGTTCAAACCTTCTTGCATTATATAAAAGACAATACAATATATAATGGATTAGGCAACAAATGAATGAAATGATGATAATTAATATTTTCTTAGGATGTGTGTGTATGTGTGTATATATATATATATATATATATATATATATATATATATATATATATATATATATATATACTACAAGTAAAAAATTTGGGGTAATCATGCATTTCTTTTAAAAAAACACCTCAAAATAACATATTTTTGTATATTTTTAAAGTAAAAGATGAAATTTCAGTAACTACAGTGTATTTGCTTTTGACAAAAAATAAGCACTTAACTATAAAAAAAATTATCAAACTACTGCATCATATTTTGTTTTCATCACTAAAATCACCCCTGGCTTTAATTACTGCTTTACAAACTCTTGACATTCTTTCTAACAGTTTTGAAAAAAGTAAATTGCAGATCTTCCTAAGCATTCTTTAAGCATTGAAAAAAACTCACTCTCATTATTTAAGTATTCTCTTCAAACTCTCTTATCAAATTCATTCCGTACTAATTCAATGGGAGAGAGGTCAGGAGATTGACATGGCCAAGTCATAATTTACAAAATTTTGTGCCATTTTTTTGACTCAAAGTAATTTTGACATGATTTTGAAGTGTTTGGGATCAGTCTTGTTGAAAGGTGAATTTTTTCCCAATTATGCATAAACCAGATTGTATAGCATGTCTTTGCAAAAGACATGCTATACCATGCAGGGGTCAATAGTTCATGTGTAAATAAAAAACTTGCAGTGATTTTTTCTGATTTTTTTATAAGGTAGTTGATTTTATATATTTTATTTGCTTTAGCCATTCATTTTTGCAATAGTAATAGTAGCTGTAGTAATACTTCCTATGTCTTTACCTGATACAAGTCCACAACAGTGGAGCAAATTGTCATGATTGAACTCACTGACATTAGATTGTAAAATGCTCTACATATAGCATTATTTGATGATTCTTGTTTTAAAAGTTTTTGAATGCTGGAGGTTGGTTCTCCTCTACCTTGCATTTTAAATTATCATAATTGACAACTGATGCTTGTCCACTTCTGAGCTTTATTTAAAGGAACAAGTCACCACACTTAAAATGATTAACGCAGTTTGGGACAATATGGCCAGATATTGCTTCATTTCTTTCCATTGCTTAAATCTTGTGAGCATCTTCAGTGGCCTCCCTTATAACATTTGAAATAAAAGGTATAACTGAATTTTATTGATGATGATAATAATAATATTATTATTATTATATATGTGCTTATGTCCCTTCAGGATGTTGGTGATCATAGCTTCCATCAATTTCCTGTCCTTTGTAAGCACTTAATAAATTGAGTCTGTTTGTTATCTCTCTTTAAACATGATTTGACATCTATTTACTCAAGGTTGCTATGTAGGTTATGTGTTGTTTCCCTCATCCCTCTTGCCTTCAATCTGTCCTGTGAGTATCAAATTCTCCAAGTCCATAGAAACTTCAACTATCTCTTCCTGATGTTAAATTAAAATGTCATTTTTGTTTTCCTTTTCTCAAAAACTTTGTTGTGGCTTACATGTTCAGTCCATGGTATTCTCAGCATCCTTCTATAAAACCACATTTCTGTTCCTTCAAGTCTCTTCTTCATCTTTGAGGAGATTTTCCAGCATTTACTGCCATATAGGACAGACATCACATATTTGAATAATATAGGAATTTGTAAATAGAAGAGACAGGTGTAACATTTTTCTTTTATTAAAAAAATCTATTTTGTCAAAGGGCTTCTAACATTTCTGTGCAGGTGAGTAGCAGATACATTTTTTTGCTATAGACCAGATGTTCTCAACCAGGGGTAAATTTACCCCTAGGGGGTAAATAATTATATAGTCGGGGGTAAATAATTGAAGTACCTGATAATTTAAAAAAAACGACTGAAAGCCGATGATGATATGAGAGTAGCATTATCAGAAACAGGTCCTCGCATAAACAAACTGATTGACTCAATGAATCAGCAGTGTTCCCACTGATAATGCTTCTGCTGTTTCGGTTCATTATTTTTTGTAATACAAATTAACTTCATAATTTTCTATTTAGAAAAGTTTTGATTTTCTTCTTTTTTTTGATACTAATGTATAATACTATTTTTATACAAAACCTAAAGTCCTAAACAATAAAAAGGTTCTTTCTAACCTTCTTGTTTTTCTGTCACTTTATGACATTGATGTACAAATGAATGATGGATTACTAATTTTTTGATCAGAATACTGAATTTTTAGTATTTGTCAGTATTTTTTATTTCTGTTTTGGTATTTTTACTAATGACTAATTTGCACAATTTTTAGTCACAAATTAGTCATTACTAATCATAATCATTCATTCAAAAAAAAAATTTTTTAGTATTTTCCAAAACATTTTTAAATTGCAAAAAAACAAAAATACTAAAAAAAAATTTTTTTTGAATGAATGATTATGATTAGTATTAATTTGTAGATCTACTAATACAGCAGATAAAATGAATAATTTTTTATTAATGATTACAAACATTAATAAAAATACTGAATTTTATACAGAGTACTAATTATACTAAAAAATTAGTAGATTAGTACTAAATAAGAAATCAGTATTTTGAGTGTCACTTAGTATTTTTTTTTGGCACAGTATTTTGACTAAAAAAAACCCTTAGTATTTTGAATGAAAAAATCATTCATTTATTTAGTCACGAAATTGTACATCAATGCTTTATGATGGCTATGAATTTTTTGTATGGGAGTAGGGGGGGGGTAAATGGAGAAATACATAAAGTCGAGGGGGTCAATGATGGAGGAAAGGTTGAGAATGGCTGCTATAGACACTTTTGACACAGACATGTGATTGACTTGCAAATCCTGAATGAAAAGCAAAAGTTATCCATACACTAAACACATTTGTTTCCCTTTTTATCATCTGTTTAGATTTTCCTTCCCAGAAAGCAATGTATTCAGAAGTTCCACTTCTAAAGTGATGAATATGCTGCACCAATATGAACTGAGGAATAATGGACCAAGTGATGCCTTAGCTGTGAGATTCCATGTACTAATTCCTCAAGCCATTTTCAAAGACATTTCATTACTCATCTTTCGGAAAGTTCAGGCAAGTAAAGGAGAATTTCTTATTCTTTTAAACAGTGTGAATTATGTCTATTAAGCTACATATACATATACATATATATATATATATTATTTAGACAGGACAAATCAACACAATTCCAAATTATAACAGGCCATATCAGTCAATTTGCTGTATAACCCAATGTACAAAGTTCCACATTTTAAATAAAAAATTCTTGGCTGGATCAGTCTATTTCAGGCTCCTTCATCTCTTCCTTTTATCCTTTACTTTCCTTGCCCTCCCGCTATCTCACTTTATTAAAAGACTTTGATCATCCATCACTTTTCTTCTCCTTCTTTCTTCTGTTCTGCTTACCCTTTCCCCTGTCAACCTAATATATCAGTCCTGGGGGGGAATTGTCTCCATTTATTAAAAGATTTTGGTCTGAAGAGATGAATATATAGATATTTACAAAATAAATTATAATCGAAATGAATCTTTAAGGTTTTCTTCTTGATTATTATTATTATAATGCTTTGTAGTTTACATTGAGCTCTCCCTGGATTAATATACCCACTTGGAATTATCCCTACCAGCTACAAATTGGTTATATATATATATATATATATATATATATACACAAATAAAAATAAAGCACAGTAAGATATATAATCCAGTGTTCTTATTGATATTTTTTATTTTTACAAAATAGTGCTCAATGTAAATTTACAGAGGATAAATATTATAAATTAACTGATTTAAAATATGAAAAAGTGGTTAAGTTTAGGGAGGGTAGGGATGTATTTTTCAACGAATTCTGACATCCGTTAAACACTTGTCGTCTGTTTTTTTTATCGGCAAAAAGTTTTCCAGCATTTTTTTCGTACTTGTATACTTAATGATTTTCTCATGGGTTGTTTGGGTTAGAATACGTTTTACGGAACTACAATTTTAAAATATTTTTACTCTTAATTACTAATAGACTATATTTCTTTTTAAAACAAGTAAATGTAATAGAATTACTTAAATTATTTAAAATTATTTTTTCATATCAAACATAAGTATATTACCAGCTCCCATTTTTTTATTTTATTTTTAAATATTATCTAAGGAAAATTTTTGACAATGATGGCAAAGAATAGCTATTTCAATTCTCTAATTCAGTAAATTTTTATTTTTTATAAAGTTAGTAATATATAATTTCTCATTTATGCACAAAGGACATGGGTCATTTAATGACCTACATATTCTAGCTTTTCTTACTAATTTCCATTTTACTGTAGGTGTTTTATTGGATTCTTTTAAGTGGCAGAAATATCATGAAAGGGATGTCTGATTTCTAATCTCCCTATACTTAACCTTTTTTTCGAACATAACTCATAATTGATAGAACAATAATTAATAAAAATGAACATGCTACCACCCCTGTCTGAATGATTGGATTTCTCTGTACCCTTGGAAACAGGAAATTATGAATTTATATGTGTGTTTAAGACTCAGTAAATTTAAAAATAAGTTATTCCAAAATTCACTTGAAGAAGAAACAGAACTAATGCTTTTAATTTAATTATATAATTAAATTTGAAGTTTTAAGCTTCAGTTTTTGAAACATGATTATTACTGTGTAGCGAAGAAACCATATTTTAAATCAGTTAATTTATAATATATATATATATATATATATATATATATATATATATGACAAACTACATTCCTTGGTTCTTCCATGTCTAACCTTCACAGCTAGAACCTATCATGTCATTTACATTGTAGCAAACCACCCACATTCCCTCTGTATTCCATCGGTAAGAATTAAGTTACACTCAAACAGCTTCTTCCCACAAATCACTGCTGTGTGGAACAGAGTCCCAAGAGGACGTTTCCACAATCACTACAATCTTAACCTATTCAAGTCTAGATTTAACTATTATCTTCCCCACCTACCTATATAAACTACACCTTAACTTAGCTCGAGTGGCCTTTGAGCTTTGTACTGGGTGAGCCTTACTGTAAAATATGTGTGTGTGTGTGTGTGTGTAAGGCACATTTCAGCAGCAATAATTCTTTCAAATATGTTTGGTTAAATAATATCAACAAGTTGCAACAATCAAAAAAAAATTGAAAGACAGAACTTATTTTTATATATATATATATATATATATATATATATATATTTGTGGAAAAGCCTGTCCGTTTGATATCGGCTTTGCTGGCTACTAAAAATAAAGTACAACAATATGGAAAACTCCCCTAAATCTTTATCCTGATATAGTGATTTATTAAGCATAGCTTAGATGTGGTATAAGGCCGAAAGTATGGATCGAACTCACCATTCAGCCATAATTGATCCAGTGAGACAAGCTTACCAACCATTACACCACCGTGAAGTACTCAGCTTTATCCTGATGTAATTAGTGATTAATAAGTTAGTCTTTCAAAACCCTGGAAATTAATTTGTCACTTTGAATATTATTCCCTATCATAAACAGAATTTTTGTTTATTTTTAATCTTTAAAAAAAGATAAAATAAATAAAAATTAAATTATTTTTCATCTTTAATCTTTTAGTTGTGGCATTGTTATTTATTTTTCTGCCAAATTAACATGAAATATTTTCAGGTAAAGAGAGATGATGGCAAAATATTCAATAACACCTGTCATTCGAAGCCATATGCAGGAACTAATGAAGATTTTAAAGCAACCATACAGCATTTGAAGCACAATGGTAATGTTTTTGTAAGTAGAACTAATAAAACCAAATCACCCTGTGATATAATTTTAATATCACATTTTATTTTATTTTTAATCATTTCACCCCAAGCTAGTCAATAAAGCCATTAACACACAAGAAGTTACTGAGTGTAAAATAATATTAAAAAGAAAAACATGATTAAGGAGAGAGAACAATAAAAGAACAGGAATTAAGAAGACAGAAAATAACAATTGACATTGCATTTAAATTTTTGATGATTAAAGTTAATTGGAAAGCAAGAAGCCAGAAGAGAACTCCACAAAATAGAAGTGTGAGAGCAGAAATTATTAGAATAGAACATGGTTACATCTAGATATTTTAACTGTAAAATGATGAGAACTATCTGCCAATTTAGTACTGCACTTAAATATGTAAAGTTGATGTACCAAAGAGAAAAATATATCAGAACAATTACCAAGAAAATACTTATAGAAAAGACACAGGAAAGCTATGTTACAGCGATGCCACTAAGATGCAAGGTGTTACTATCAAATTCTTAAACTGATTTAGAAAATAGTTTTAGTTAAATGATACATGCTAGTATTTTTGAGATATCAATCAGTAACTATATTCTGTGTATGTTTTATACAAACTCTCTGTAGTTTAAAACATGTCAATTCTTTCTGAAAAAAAAAAAAAAAAAAAAAAAACAGTTTTGGAATCGCATATGACAGGTGCCGAAAAGTTCCCAACCTGAAAAAAATCTTATATTTATTCATTTAGTCAGATTTTGAAAACTGATTGGATTTTTAACTACCTCTTTGTATCTACTTTGTACTAAATTTTTTTTTTTTTTTTTTTTTTTTTTGATGGGGAGGATTTACCTTATATGGAAAAATATCTTCTCATATGTGTTTCAAGCAAATTAGTAGTCTTTCCCTTATGGTAGTCAGGTTTGTTACATTCCCATATGTGCAAAAACCTTGGGAAAGGTAGATCTCCTTGCCCTAGCTATAGGCTAAATAGTAACAAGTGTACCTGTGAATTCATTGTTATTTGCAAAAATTGTTAATGTGATATTTAAACAAAAAATTTTTAAAAAATGGAAAAAATTATTCTTCCAATTCAAAAAAGGTTCTGATTTTAATCAATCCTCTATAGCAAATATGCTTATGGAAGATGAATTTCTGCACTAATTTGGCAAGTCCAGGTTTTCAATTTATCTTTTCTCAGGTGATAAAGATATTATTCCAATGTAAATAAGAATGTCTCTTAGTGATATTGTTTTGTTTATACAAAAAAAAAAAAAGTCTAGATCTACTTCATTGATTGATTAATTTGGGTTATCAACCCTTTATAGTTTATTTAAAGCCAGAAAATATTTTTTTAGATTGTAAGAATTTTTTATTTTTTGAGAGATAATAATGATTTAGGGATACAAGTCTTAATAATTAACCCTAGGAAGCTAGGGAAGGAGAAGCGGCGGATTCATACCTTTCCTGAAGGTATTTGCATGTAAGTGAATATAACAAACCCAACTGGAATTGGAACTCGGCTCTCCGATTAACAATTCTAAGCCATTATCAATTACACCACCAGCATATACAAGCTTACAGCACCTGGTATCCCCAAGCACTCAAGCAATGTTGAGCCTAATCAGTACCTAGATGGGTGATTATATGGGAACCAATGTTTCAACATGATATGGCGGTAAGCCTCCTCGAATTTTTGTATTCTATTTCATATATATATATATAAACCCTACTTCTCAATCTTGTAGTTATCACTAATATATATATATATATATATATATATAGTGATAACTACAAGATTGAGAAGTTGGGTTTATAACTACAGTTAATAGTTACTCAAAGACATTGATGATACATTTTAAATAATTCTAAATTTTTGTAAATGTTGGAACATTGAATAAGGGGCATAAGGTTCTGACATTTATTAATATGAAAGAAACAGCTAAAATGTTTTATTGAAAACAAAAATTACTTGGATGACCAAATAGTAATATTAATAATTACATATTTTCTAGTAATATATAGAGTAATATTGCTGCATATTACATTTCATTTGAAAGATAATCAAATAAATATTTCATCTTTTCAGAATTGTAGTGGATTCAAGTGTCGCAACTTGAGCTGTGAACTGGACCAGATAC